AAGCCTGACCCGCCGCCACGGGACCCGGAAGGGGCCACGCGCACGTCCACGGCCAAGCCTGACCCGGCCGCCACTGGACCCGGAGGAGGCCACGCGCACGTCCACGGCCAAGCCTGACCCGCCGCCACTGGACCCGGAGGGGGCCACGCGCACATCCACGGCCAAGCCTGACCCGCCGCCACTGGACCCAGAGGGGGCCACGTGCACGTCCACAGCCAAGCCTGACCCGCCACCACTGGACCCGGAGGAGGCCACGCGCACGTCCACGGCCAAGCCTGACCCGCCGCCACTGGACCCGGAGGGAGCCACGTGCACGTTCACGGCCAAGCCTGACCTGGCCGCCACTGAACCTGGAGAAGGCCATGCGCACGTCCACGGCCAAGCCTGACCCGCCGCCACTGGACCTGGAGAAGGCCACATGCCCAGGTGGGCCAGGTTTTGGGAGCTGGAGAGTGTGACAGGCCTCATGAAAGCTGTCTCCTCTTTTCCCGGACCGTGTTCTGGGGATGGACGTCTGCCTGGGGGTGTCCCCCACCCGGTGCCAGCAAACAGCGGGCACGCAGCCGCGCTGCTCGAGCAGCGTCCATGGGGCCTGAGGCCACACGGGGTAGATGCAGGCGCCTTCTCTGGCCACAGCCCCATGTGGACCCTCAGCCAGGGTTTGCAGCAAGAGCTTATGGGCGCCTCCCGGTGACGGCCACGGGGACTGCGAGCGGGAGAAGCTCCATCTGAGGGGCATTATTACCTTGTTACCAGATGCTAACTGATGGTGGAAAAGCGCTCTCAGGGGGATGGCAGGGATGGCGGTGGCTCATACGGCCCCCGTGCCGCCCAGGAGGTGCCGGGAGGCGGTGCCGCAGGGAACCTCTCCTCCCCGGGGCAGGCTCCGGGACAGTGGGAGGAGCGGCCTGATTCTACCCGAACAGGTCTCGCCCAGCGACCAAGAGCTGCTGGGTCGCGGGCGGCAGTTCCACGGTGAACAGACAAGGCTCTGTTTGGAAGGCCCCGGTGGCGATGGAGGGAGCCGGCAGCCGGTCAGCTCCGTGGGCCGCCCTGCGCACTGCTTTCCCAGACGCGAGGGGAGAATTGAACCGTTGGGAGAAGCCCCGCGTTTGGTTTCTGAGGACTCGTGGCCAGTGGCCAGCGGCCCGGCCGTATGGTCCAGTGGGCGGGTGACGGGACCGGGCCTGTGGAAGGATGCCGGCGTGCGGCACGGCCCGTGGGAATGACCGTGGGAACTGCAGCGGTGCGCGAGGGGACACGTCAGTGCCCGTCGCAGGGGTTCCTTCCAGTTTGGAAGGTGACGCATCTGCAGGCAGATATCCCCGAGGGCTCCCGGAGGAGGTCGTGGGGGCGGCAGTGCAGAGGTGGACGGAGCCCAGACACACTCCTGGGGCGCCCGCAGAGGCACCAGACGCCACGAAGCGCGGTTCCGGCTGCCTCCGGAGAGGGACGGGTGCCGAGGGGCTGCTGGGAAGCCCCAGGCACAGCTGGCTGGTGACGCTGACACTTGCCTCCGAGGTCCCGGGGCCACGGGCGGGTCCTGCAGGAGGGACACGGACTCTGGGCTGTGCTGACCGGCGGTGGACACAGGTGCTCAGGGTGCTTCTGGAGCAGGGCACAACGCCCCGATCTGGGGGGCGGACCGTCCTTTCTTCAGCCCAGGAGCCTCGGTCCACAGCCCCCGGCGTCCGAGAGCCCTCCCCTCAGAGGACTCGTGCGATGGAGAAGGAACGGGCAGCGAAAGCAGCGTCTGTGCAAAGCACGAGGGCCTTCACGCACGTGGGCTCACACTCAGCACCACTGGGACGCACAGAGAGCCCCCCCGCCCCCACCATACAGCGTGTGCTTCTGGCGGGTCTGGGGAAGGGCTGCTGCGGGGACACGGGCGTGGTGACGGTACTCCTCTGTTTCCGCCCAGATGCACCTGCCCACGAGAGCAGGGCCGCAGCCCCGGGGGCCAGAACCGGGCGCTCCCCAAGCCAGAAACGGTAGCGAGGTCTTTAAACCTAGCGCCGGAGCTCCTGACGAGGCGGCCTAGCCCTCACCCCATCTGGCAGAGCGGGGTTCGTAGTGAAAGCAGCTCCGTTGTCTGGTAGTCGGACGGGGGTGGACGGAGGGGAGGCGCTCCTGGTGCAGGGAGGCTTGGCGGCCAGGCCTGGGGCCCTTCCAAAGACCACAAACGGAGAGACAGGACAGTAGTAGCTGAGGGTCTGGGGACGAATAATGAACACATAACAGCGAATGTGCAGATCACATCAAGAAAGCGGGAGACAGCACTGCCTCTTGGCCCCCAACACCGGGAGCCCTCGAGGACCCGCTGTGTTTGGCTGGGTGTGCTCCCACCTTCAGAGCCTGCAGACCTGGGCCGGGTGGCCCGGGAGAGGTCCTCACAGGGCACGACGACAACAGACCGGACCTAGTCTACTACTCTGCCAGTAGCCTGTGACCTTTATGATCATTTTCCTATAAAGGATCTGGTCAAAGACCAAGGGGTGGCCAGTGACATGGTTAAAAATGAATATTTGGTCTTTGTTCCAGTTCGGGGCACAGAGTGCCTACAACTCTTGTCATGTCTAAAGTAGTGACAGTATCTTGGGTGTGTCCCTGGGATGACTGGTGACTTCGGGACAGAGGCCCATCTCCGGAGGGGTCAGGCGTGCAGAGAGCCCTGGGGAGGGGGGAGGACGGGAGGTCGAGTCACTCGCCCAGGTAATCACCATGCCCGCCCAGGGGAACCGCCAGGCAGGCTCCGAGCCGCTGGGAGCTGGTCGGTGAACAGGTGCGGGTGTCCGGAGGGGGGCACCCAGAGAGCACATGGATGCCCCACGGCCCTTCCCCGGCACCTCGCCGCCCACAGGCCCTCCGTGGGGCTGTTTCTGAGTTGTATCCTTTCTAATAAATAGGTAACGGCAAGGGAAACCCTTTCCTGTGCTCTGTGCGCTGCTCTGGGACATCGTGGAACCCGGGCAGGGATCACAGGAACCCCCCAATTTCCAGAACACAGCCTGGACTTGCAATTGGCGCCTCCAGTGGGGGCCGCCCTGGGGGGCTGAGCCCTTCACCTATGGGGTCTGATGCCGGCTCTGGGCCAGCCGAGTCAGAGTCGGCTCGCAGGACCCCAGCTGGTGTCCAGAGACTCAGGGAATCTGTTGTCGCTGTTGGAAAGCAGGCCGCAGGGGCCGTTGTAATAAGGCCGCCCGGGCCACGCGCATGCACCCACGTCCATCCTCAGACCAGTCGGAACCTGCCCACCGGATACTAGAGTCCCACACCCACTTCCCCTCCTGGGGAACCTGTCCTGTCCCTTCTTACCTCCTAACATTTTTCATTGCTTTTGTGTTTCGTGATCCAACTTGCCAGACTGCTGGTTTTATTTGCCTCCTCAGGGTAGCTTCTGGCTGGGGACCCTCCCCGCCACACACCTCCCCGCCACCACTTCACTGCCCTCTGCCCTCCACTGTCTCCACTGGGTGGGTTCTGTGGTGCTACTTCCAGCTTCTGCGGCTGGAGGCTCAGCTCCCGGACCTCCGTCCTGGGTGAGCGCCAAGACCCCCCGCCTCTTCCCCAGCCCCTCTGCTGCAGCCCGCGAGGTCTGAAGGTCACTCTTTCAACATCGTTCGCTTCTAGGTATTTTAAATTTTCCACTGTGATTTCTTCTTGGGCCCTCTGGTTGTTTAGAGTAAATGTTTTAGGTTCTCTTGCTCTCGAGTGTGGCCCGTGTGATGCCGAGTCCTCCGCCCTAGCAGAGACAGTCTCATCGTGGGCGTGGGGGGCCGGGCTCCGGGGCACGCCGGTGGAGGACAGCCCAATGCCAGGCCCCACATTCTCCGTCCGCAGAGTGCCCCGGCCAGCCTGGCCCAGCTCTCCTCAGGCTGTGGCCAGTCTTGGCCACGTGACAATAAGCACCCCCTCCCTCCTGGGGTCAGCCGAGGACTCTCACCGCACTACAGGCTTTGACCCACTCCTGAGCTCCAGAGACAGGCCCAGGTGCCAGGAGGAGAAGCCCACGCCCCTCGCCGCATCCCCGCCCGCCATCCCTTATCGGGCCCCACTGCTGCCCTTATCGGGCCCCACTGCTGCCCTTCCTGCACCCCGGCTCGGGCGGTCAGCGGCTTCCCAGGCCTTCCTTGTGACCCCTCCCAGAACAGCCCCTCTGGACTCCCCAGAAAGGGTTCTTGCAAATTCTCCAGAGGCTGCAGCCAGACCTTCTCAGAGGCTCTGCTCGGCATCTGTCCCCCAGGAGCCTCCGTGTGGCAGCCAGCACCCACCCCCCCCACTCCGACCCAGGGCTATAAGGATCCAAACTCAAAAAATGCCAAAGGAGTAGCTGGGAGACTCTGAGAGGCTAGGTGTCAGCCCAAGAGCAGCTACCGGCTGATTAGAGGCAGAGCCCCGAGATCTGCTAGCTACCGCCTCCGCTCTGGCCTCAGCCCTGGCGCTGCTGGGGTCCCCCTGGGCACCGTGGGGCCGTGAAATATCGGGGTGTCAGAGCCTCTGGGCTCTGGGGGGGGGGAGCCTCGCCCTCCCCGCCTGCCAGGCCCACTCAGGTCCCATCCCTGCAGCCCAGCCTGACGGACCCTTCACAGCCCCTGCAAGGGTGGGTCCTCAGAACCTTCCATGGAGGGGGACAGGTCCTCCCCGAGGTGCACCCTGACCTTGGCCACAGGCAGACCCTTGCTCTGTTTACCCAGCTGGGCCCTCATCTGCCCACCGGACAAAAATAGCCCGGAGCCCCGCGTGGGGCAGTGGCAACGGCCGGTGAGGGAGGGAGACCCCCGGGGGGTGCGGGGCGACAGCCAGGCAGCACCAGGGACGGGGAAGGCGGGGCGGGAGCCAGGGTGGGGGCTGCGG